CAGAATAAAAGCAATAAACCTGTGTGTTCTTCTGAGTTATCTATCTGTTAAAGACTGGAAATAGAAGCATGTTTTCCTATCTAGAAACAGAATAACCAGAGTTGTGTCAAAATACATTTTACAAATAAATAAATAAAAACATTTGTAAAGTGGCTCCTAATATATATATATTTAATTTCAGCCCATTGGTTCTTGTTCTATCCTTGGCTTCAGTACAGAACAGGACTTTCCCCTCAAATATGCAAAGCCTTTAGATCAGATGTGTCTAATCTTGACTCCTTGTAATGCGGCCTCACAAAATTGCAAACGTTTAACATTATTATGCGACTTATATTCATTAACTAAATTACATATTTTATATGTGGCCCAAGACAATTCCTCCTCACTCAATGCAGCCCAGGCAAGCCAAAAGGTTGCACACCCATGCTTTAAATAGTAGTAGACCTCTATCTTTTCTTAATTTTATTTTTTTATAAACTAAATGTACCAAATCTTTGCCATAGATTTATGGACCTGTAGTCAATCTGAAGGACTTTTTGAGTCTGTTTCATTTTCTCCATATGCCCTTTAAAGTGTGATGCCTAAAACTGAATGTCATATTCAAAATGTGATTGAACCAGTATAGATAACATTGCTATCTCCCTCGATCCTAATGCCATGAATCAGTGGTGGGATTCAGCCAGTTCGCACCACTTCGACAGAACCGGTAGCTAATTTTTTGTTGCCCAGGCTCAGAATGGACTTCCGGAAGTGGCATCCACACAGAGAACCAGTTATTCACATATTTGAATCCCACCACTGCCATGAATTATAAATACAGGTAAAGATTGCATAAGTATCACATTGTTCTATTACTAACTTAAAATAGGTTAATTATCTGAATCTGTAGAAAAACTTCAAACATGATTGCATTAATGTACAAATCATTTATTGAAGTCAAGTTAGAGGTATAATTAGTTAACAAAAATTGCCATGAACTAAATTGTCAACATTTATTTTCAGCTAGATTTCATTCTGCACTTCTAAATTAAAGTAAGTATGGAGGTGGTAAGGAGGAAATAACCTTATTGCAATAACCTTATTGCATCAAATTACATCATGAAGTCATAATTCAAAGACTTCCAATTACTGGAATCATTTAACTGCCAAATGAATACTGGTAAGTGTGCAACATTTTCAAAGAAAGGGCAAGCACACCTATGCTCATTCTGAAGCACCTTCCCAGTTTAGAAATTATATCCCTTAATAACATTGCTATTGGTTTTCCCAGCAATGTATATAGATGGAAATAATCAAACAGTTTCACTTAAGAAATATGTCATCAAGTCTGTGGCAATCACATAGATAGATTTTCTCCATGATGGTCTCTAACCTGGTCTTTCTCCATGATGGTCTCTAACCTGGTCTTTCAATGGTGCACTAATTGCCTTTGTAACTGACTCAGTTCACCTTGCTGCTGGCCATCCTCTTGTTATCTTCCCTTTCGCCTACCCCAGCATGCAAATCTTTTCCAGGGAGCTGGGTCTTCACGTAATGTGTCTGAAGTAAGATAACTTGCAATTGGTCATTTGTTCCTTGAATGAGAACTCTGAGTTGATTTGTTCGATAATCTATTTGTTTAT